ATCATGGTGATGATGATGATGATGATGATGATGATGATAATGAAGGTGATGATGATGATGATGATGATGATGATAATGATGGTGATGATGATGATGATGATGATGATAATGATGGTGATGATGATGATGGTGATGATGATGATGATAATGATGGTGATGATGATGATGATGATGATGATGATGATGATGATGATGGCAGTGGTGTTGGTGGTTATGATGATGATGATGATGATAGCGATCATGGTGGTGATGATGATGATGACGACGGCGAGGATGAGGATGATCAAGAAGATGGCACTGCAGTAGCAGCAGCTGCAAAAAATGGTGTGGTATAGTTGTTGCAGCTGCTGTTCCCATCGATTCGGGAAAGTAGCACCGTTATGCAGTGTCTCATTTGTTTGTTGCTGGTGTTGAACTAGCGTGAGAGCCTGCTAGGCAACCGAGTTAATCTGCATTTGGTGTTGATTTTTCGCTGATCCAGTCTCATGACTGACCAAACTCATGATCGACAAATAACTTTCATCTGCAATGTGTGCAACTCTGACCGTGTGCATACACACTGCCACGGCTGTACGCATTCATGCACTGACATATGCGAGTGAACACGCGCGACAGCAATGACCATGCAAAACTACTCTCAGCATCAACGGATACGGTCAAGACAGTAGCAACAGTGGCGATGACAGAGTACGAACAGCAGCAGCACTCGATGACAACCACCAGCAGCCTGCCTGTTCACCTTTCCTCCGGCTCGCCTGTCTCGCAAGGGAAGAGATTCCAGATAGGAGCTTACTACCGGGCGTCAGAGGCGTATGTATATGTGCTTAGATAAACATAGCTTTAGTGGGGCACAAGACGCATCCAAATCTGGATGTCCCTTGGTCGAAACGGCCGGGGACATAGTTACATTTTCAGGAGAGACATGCTTCACTTGCTTGGGACACCCTTGAATCTTACGATGGAACCTCCACACCCTTGATGTGTTGACGGCCTTGCTAGGCCCTGTGCAACAGATTCAATAGAAGTCCGAATGCCGCCGAAATAGATCAAGCCTATGCATCCATACATGCATGCATATATACATATATACTTACTCCGTGAAGCTCAACGCTAAATAACGCGGTCTAGTCTAGCGTTCACTCCCGAAGGAGTCTCCAAGGGACGTACATACTCTTTCGGTGCTTTGGGTTCTTGCCTTCTACGGCATCAATAGCGCAAGGGCCTCAATAAATCAAATATTGCTTTGGGGCATATTATATTATAGTTATAATAAAGCACCCTCAAAATAGTACGTATAGGTAATTATTAAGGCCCCTGGATTAATGTTTGGGGTGTTGCTTGTCGGTTGCACGCTCTAGACCCCAAGCTCCCCCCGACCCAAAACCTGCAGAATCAGCCTCATGTAGGGTTTAGGGTTTAGGGTTTAGGGGCCTAGATATGTACCAATACTGTTTTGGGCGTTCCTTGTTATGATTACGGTAGAATGGGCCCCAAAACCCTATTCTAATTATTCAGGCCCCTATATTACTCAGCCCACATCCGCAACAAACTCCCCAAAAACCGAAAAACCTGAGCTTAAAGCAGAAGACAAACAAGTTGAGTCACTTTCTTTAAACCCTAAACCCCAAGCCCCAAATCACATGCAGTCTCGTTGCAAAATCCGCTTCCGCTCCTCGGGATCGGTCGGCGAGTGGTCTCGGGACCTCGGAGCAAAGAGAGCCCTAAGGCTCAGAGCTTAAACCCTGAACCCCTGATCTCTAAACCTAAACCATACCAAGCTCAGGGAGTGCAAAAGCTCAGATCTTTTTGACACCTCGCCGTGGCATCGCGGTGAAGACCTGGCTCGTTCTTGCGAAACACCGGCAGTTCAGCTTTGAGCGGCTTAGGGTTTAGGGTTTAGGGGTTCGTTTGCCGGGTTGGAGGTGCCCCCCCCTTTCACAAAAAAATCATCGCTCAAGTGGTCCTTACAACAAGGATCCTACTGTTTGGGGTCGATATTATGAAACTCCCAGGAAAGCCATAAATCGCCAAGCCAATAAAACCCTGATCCCTAAATGGCACCCCCCCCCCCCCCCAGAAAGAGCCCTCCGAGCAACCTTGAAAACTCTCCTAAAGCCCCCCCAAACGCCCCAAATCCAGCTCTACCTCGACTTTGCCCTGGAAGGTCGTCTCCAGGCAGGCGGAGGTGGTGCAGCCTCCAGTCGGCGGTTTAGGGTTCAGGGCATTGGGTTTAGGGTTTTGGATTTGGGGTTTAGAGCTTGGGGTTAGAGTTTACGGTTAAGTCCGAGGTTTCAATGGCTCGAAGTACAGTATTTGCTGCAGGTCCGCGTCATGGCGGCATGTTTCCAGATTTTCTTTGGCTTGAAGTCCAACTTCCCCCACTTGAGGATCAAGCTTCCTTTCACCTAGCAGGGGCAGCTTCGAGAGACGGCGAGACCGCACCAGGGAATGGAAGATTCCGGGCTTCAGAGATCTGGAGCCCAGGTGAACGAGAGAAACTCTTCGGATTTAGGGTTTACGGCTTAGGGCTTAGGGTTTAGGGTTTAGGGTTTAGGGTTTAGGGCTTAGGGCTTAGGGTTCGGATTTCCCAAAAGTCGAATCATCCCAATTTCAAGCTGAAGGCCTCCTGATCTTCTACATCCAACTTAGCTCTCCTTATCCGAAAAGCCTGGGTCAACGAGGTGCGAATGTCCTTGCCGCATTGCAGCGAAAGCACCCCATCTAGCCCGTAAGCCCTTCAACCCTATAAACCCTGACAGCGGGCCTTATAGTAACCTGTATAGCAGCCCCTTATAGCCGCCCTTCTAGCAGCCTCCCGACCCCTAAAACCCTGTAGCCACGGCGCAGAGTGGGAAGCAGGTCCACCGCAGTAGGTGGAGGCGTGAGCTCGCCGGGCCTGTCTCTCTCTCTCGATGAGGACGTTGAAGGGGCAAAGCATTTAACATTATTTTGGGGGCTTAGGGTTTAGGGTTTGGGGTTTGGGGGCCTAAATAGTTACCAACATTTTTTTGGGGGTTGAGGGTTTAGAGTTTTGGGGCTTGGGGCTTTAAGGTTGTAGGGTTTAGGGTCTACGATGAGCAAAGAGTCCTTGGGATTGGAGCTCAAGGGCTTACGGTCTTGCTCAGTCCCGTAGCCCAGTTACAGAAAGAATGCTGGCGATGATGGTGAAATGGATGCAGTGACGGTGACGACGATCTGTCGCCGCCACCACCACCATCAGCAGCAGTAGCAATCGCAGCGTCAGAATCAACATCAGCATGTAAAGTAGCATCGTCAGCCTCATCAACAACAACAGCATGCCTATCGCATGAATCTGCAGCGGCATTGGCAAATGAAGGGTTTGGGTAGCCATCGCGTTTTCAAGTGGTCGGTCTTGGGGTTATGTCTTCGCCATGCAGTCGCCCAGCAAGTAGAACTGCATCTGCCCCTATTGCAAAAAGACAGCGTGGCTCAGGTTTGTGGGTGTGTCAATGTTCAACAGATGTATGGCAGTTTTGACGTTCGGATTCGAGTGGGGTGTGCAAAGCCAGAACAAAACCGCTCATGCACATTAAATTTATTGGCAGGCTCGTCCATGGCAAGCCGGAAGACCTCACGCCGGATCCGGCGAGAATCAAGAACCTCAGCGAAGTCTGAAGCTCCATTCAAGGAGAGGGTTTAGGGTTTAGGCTTTAGGCTTTGGCAGAGCATGGGTCAAAGGTTCGGATCCAGCCACAAACGCAGTAGTCCTGGAGGTTGAAACTTGCGAAGACATCGCCCCCTAAACCCTAAACCCTGAACCCTAAACTGGACTCCCTGGGCCCTGCATCTTTGCTTTGAATGCCGAAACACCGCGTGCTGTGAGTCGCGAGGTCTTGCATGCCGTGGACGCCCTGAAAGCCGGCCTGGCTTAAGACAGGGGCATTACTTTACTGGAATAGGCTTTTATTCGAATAGTAGTTGTTTTGGAGGGGGGGGTTGAAATATCGTAGAGTCAACCCGGGACTAACTGTGCGGGGATACTGTTACTAGTTACTCCGACCAGTCTAACAGGGTTCGTCTGAAAGCGTTTTCAGTGGGTCATAGCACACAGGGGGATTCAGGGTTCAAGGATCTATAGTCTGTTTTGATCTCAGGCATACTCCTTCGTTAAGCCTAGGGTTTTGGAGTATTCCTAAACCCTAAACCGGGTTCAGCGGGTGGTGAGCTTGGAGCTTTTAGGGTTTAGGGTTTAGGGTATTGTGGGTTCAAGCTCTAAGTCTTAGGATCTATGGTTTAATAGGGTTTATGGGAGAGTCAATCTGCACCTCCCTCCATCCCACTCCTCGCAGCCTGGGAAATTCCCTGGTGGAGGCATCCACACTCAATGAAGGACGACCACATCTCCTTGGGCATGTCTTTCGCAGCACCTGCGGAGACGAATCAAACTCACGCTGCATGTGATAATCATGATGACTTGTACGTAACTGTCTTGCATAACAGCAGTCTCAATAATGACTGTCATGGCGGCTTGCTAGCCTGACCCAGCCGAAAGGGACATCCAAAACCTTGCGCAATAAAAATGAGACTCGAAGCTTTCAAACCCGCAAGCAAATGATGGCATTGAGGTTTGTCGATCGGCTTTCATGATTTGTGCAGCTCACTGCACAGAGGGTTGAGGCTTCAGAGCCCAGCGTTGCACCAACAAAAGCTGCTGAGAGAAGCTGGAGCTGGCCTCCACCATGGTCGGTCGTCAGGGCCAGCAGCCAGTCCTGAAAGGGTTTAGGGTTTAGGCTTTAGGTTTTCGGGGGCTCAGGGCTTGCATCAGGTCACCTGCGACTAGTCAGAGCAGGTACAGCAGCAGCAGGTGTAGTCGTTGTCGTCGTCGTCGAGGTCGTCGTAGTGGTAGTTGCAGAGGTAGCGGTAGCAATAGTAACAACAATGCCAAGAACTGCGGTAGTGGAGTTAAGGACAATCAAGCTTTGATGGTTGCTGTCGCGATTTGGCTCTCGATGAATTCGGTCCCAATCTCTTCGTGTATGGGTGCATAGATTCGCATAGATACATCGACACATCTATATATATATATATACATGTATATATATATATGGTTTGCGTGCATGTATGTATGTATGGATGGATGTATGGATGTATGGATGCATGTATGTATGTGCATGCATTTTACGTATGTATGTATGTATGTATGTATGTATGTATGTATGTATGTATGTATGTATGCAAATACACATCCACAAATCTATCTATCTATCTATCTATCTATCTATCTGCCTGTCTATCTATCTATCTATCTATCTATCTATGTACATATTTGAATCTCTAAGTATGCAGCGGCCTATTTCGGCTCCCCCAGTGTCGCAAGCCTACGAAACTTTAGAAGTATAGTCTAGTCTAACATGAAAATATCTTAGTCACTGTTCATTGTAGGTAACAATGCTAGTGCAAGTATTCGTTCTAGTGTTGTTAGGGTTTAGGGTTCAGGGTTTAGGGTTTAGGGTTTAGTGCAGTGCTCTGCCTGCTAGGTCGGGCGCACAGGAACCCCAAACCTCAAGTTCCCAGATCCCCGGCCATGAAACGTACTCAACCACGAGTTACGTGTCCTGACAGAAGCCCTAAACCCTAAACCCTAAACCCTAAACCCTAAACCTTAAACCCTAAGCCCTAAACCCTAAACCCTAAACCCAAAAAGTCCAGAATACGACAAACACTCCAACACAGGATGGACTTACGGGAAGCGCCTGGGGCGACTGGGCAAACTACACGGCATCGCCGTTGCGTGCGTCGCAGCCCTGAGACAGAGGCAGGTTTGGGGGCAGTGGAGCCGTCTCAAAGGTTACCTGCCCCGAACATGGTGTTTCCTCAAACATTCGAATTGCCTGTCACGAGTCCATGGGTTTTGCTGCCATTACCGTGGCCAACAGTATCTGCGATGCTGTTACTTCCGTTATGGAAGAGGTTGTCTGGTTCATGTCAACGTCGGTTCATTGGCCTTACCGTGCAGCCGTGTGTCGGTGTTTGGCAGCCGTTGTAGGTGTGCATAGAGTTCCACGTGGATTGTTTCCAATTCTAGGGTTCCTCCATACACAGCTGCAAACTACAGCCTCGAAAGGCCCTAAATCCAGACCCTGGATGTACCCCACCCAACGTTTCGAGCCTTGCGACCATGGAATCAGAGTTCTTAAACGTTGTCTGACTCAAAGCTCAAATACAATAGCCGTTGGCATGCTGAGAGTGCCCTCAACACCAAAACCCTAAACCCTCAACCCTAAACCGCCCTAAACGGCCGTGAACCCGAAACCCTCAGGAGAGAAGAGAAGAACGGGCTGCACAATGTGGGGACAAGGCCAGTGGGCGGGCCTTTAGGCTGCAGATTGAGGATTTGTGATAGGTTATTCCAATTGTTATTACTACTTGTATCACGCTCAAAATACTTTGAGTATGATTATCACAGTATTACGCTTTTCACTTCCTGTGGACCCCAGATTCCCAAATCTAGACCCTAAGCCCGAAGCCGCAAACCCCAAACCCTGAGTCCTAAACCCCACACCTTAATCCCCAAACCCGACACCCTGAACCCTGAAGCGTAAACCTAAAACCTAAACCTTAAACCCTAAACACTAAAACCTAAACCCTAAAGCCTAAACCCCAAACCCTAAGGCCTA